AGGGGCTCCTGGCCTCGCTACTAGGAGCAATGTTCGCTACTAGGGGCGCTCCTGGCCTTGCTACTAGGAGCAAGGACGCTCTAGTAGTAATGCCCTTGTTACTAATAGCCACTTGTTACTAGTAGTAAGTGCACATAGAATTTATGGAATTCGTCATAATTTATCCTGGTAGGTGCCCTCCCAAACACATCTGTTCTTTCAGCTGTCAAAGCAGGACAGTTGGTTTGCGGCTGCTGGTACAACTCTTTTGTGCTGGGTATGGAGGACTATAGAGTAGTAGGACGTACACCTCCCTAGTTTGGTAAAGGATATCCTCTTCCAAAACCTACTGGAAGTTGCTATGTTTGTTTGGGGAAGTGCAATTAAGAGTTGCATGGTCGGGAATGAAAGATACCACCGTATACAATACACAATACAAGCATTGCTTGGGGGCAAAGATGGGTAGACACTTTACGTAGGTAATGCATATGCCAGGGGATACTCGCTTTGAACGTGGTGTCGCCGTTCAAGCTCTTGCTGGCCGGCCTAGATTCTCAAACTTCCGTCTACCCGGTACCCAATGTTCGCAGGAATTGACGGGGCTATAGCTGGATCCTTTGGCTATGGCTATTGATCGCAATGCCAGGGTGTTGATTTGTCTCGCTGCAGCTATGCTTGTTACAAACTGGATCATGCTAAGCCGACGGGATTCTTTTTGTGAGTCTTTGCAGTGGGCGAAAAAGAAGGAACTAAAACTGTCAAGGTGCAAATTGCCGCTGGTGGTTCATGTGGGTCCTCACAAGACCGGCACTACCTCATTCCAAACCTTCTTGTGGAAGCACGCCCAATGGCTTCAGAAAGAACATGGCATATTTGTGGCCGCCAACAAGAGTCAGAAAGAAGCTGCCTACATTGCAAGCACAATCAGCAAACAGTATGGCGGAACCTATAACCCGAAGTATGCAAATTCTACAAGGATGGCAGAGCTGTTCCAAGTCATTGATAGCATGCCCAGGAATTCTCCTGTGATTTTGTCATCCGAGGAGTTCTGCAGGTGGAAGACAGCAGAGTGGAATTTCTTCAAGAGCCAACCTGCTATTCAAAAGCGGTGCTTGTCGATGGTAGTTACGCATCGGCGAGTGCGGAGTTTTCAGGCATCGATTTGGAATCAACGCAACAAAAAGACAATGCCTGAGCCTTTTCTCATCACACTTTTGAGAGAAGAATCACTACACGGATTTCCAGCTCAAACTTCTAGACGTGTTGGAGTCGGCTTCTGATTCTGTAGATGTAGTGTCCTACGAATATTTGCATGAGGCAAATTGCAGCCTGGCGAGTTTTGTAGTTTGCAATGCCACAAAAAGGTTGGAAGGCACCGAGTGGGAGTCCTGCAAGATGGGTGTAGATCTCCATGTGCCACTGGGTATCAATCCATCTGAGCCGCCCACAGCCTTTGACGTCGTCCGCTTGGCATATGGCTTGTACACCAGGCAAAAGGCTCTCAACAGTACGTGCAGGCGGTCTCAGTTTACCCTGGCGACCTACCATAACTTGGCTGTTTCCAGAGTGGCTGAGCAGATGCCGACACAGTGCGGACAACTTCCCGATGAATACGTCGATGAGCTTTATTACAACCGTACCGGAATTCTAAGACCCTCGGGAAGTGCTTCCAAAATCTGCTTTATAGACGAGGGATCTCTTAAGCTCAAACACTGGAAATTACTGAGCACTTTGCTTCCACAAGGCTGCCAAATCACCACCGAATAAGACTCCACTTTCGAGGCAAACTTCCTTGAGACATCTCAAGCAAAGGTTCAAGAGTTCCAAAGTGAGCTGCTTGTTTTCGGAGTTTGTCGGAAGGAGACAGGGGCTGGTTTAGAAGTCGGATGTTCAAAAGATTGGAGGGCAGTGGTTGGGCTGGGTAGGGTAGGCTAGCTCTTGCTTTGTGTGTGTGTTGAATGACATAAGCTTTGAGGTTTTTGCTTTCATGACTGTGAAAACTCATGTCAATCATCATGTCAACTGTATCTCAGTAGACTCCTTGTGGGAGAATCAACAGAGCACCAAACTGGATCAATCCAAGCTGTGTGGAATTCAGCAAAGGCCACATGACCTGGTGTTGCTGGCAGTCTCAGGTAAATGCGCGAGCCTTCTGTGAGCCGTTGTGGCAGATTTATGTGAGGCTTGTCCAGCAGGGACAGGCCTTTTGGACTGTATGTTGCCCAGCCAAAACAAGATTGACGTGCCTTCAATGCCTTCTCAATCATTTGATGTGATTTCATTGTCCGCATTCCAACTTGTTGCCGACATGTCCAAGATTCTTTTCCTGTTTGTACCTTCAGTCTTTTTGGGTTGTGTACTGTCCTTTGATCATGGAGCCATCCAGTTCGGGGTTTGCTACTTGGCCTTTTTGGGGAAACGAGACTCTGTGTCTAGACTCTGATATTCTTAGCCCACCTTCGTACGTTGCAAAGTACCCAAGCCGTTTTGCAGCAAAGCTTCGAGGTGTATTGTTCAACAGGCAAGCAATTCCAAGGTCGTTCGGTCGTGAGCCTTGGTATTTTTCAGCATTATGTATTTGTTCTATCTCGTTTTCGCCAACGCGACAAACTCTAAGTGCCCCTCACTGAGTGAACATTTGGTAGGTATCGGTCGGTGTATGCGGACCAGCTCGTCTTCACGACCATGTTCACGACCTGAAAATGTTGCCTGGGTCTCATCAAAACTACAAGATCATGTTCTTGGTCCATTTGGCCCACGATAGACCGAAGTCAGTTGTTTCATGAGTTGGTTATATAAGCCTAGGACTCTAGACAGCACAGTAAGAAGTCTTCCACACACCGATGGAGCAAGAACAAGGCTCAAGATATGCCAGATGCTGAGTTTGCTGCAGACTTTTGGATTGTTTCTGTCTTGAAGGTGTTTTAGGTTGACTTCCCATTCCGCATGAACTTAAGAGCCCATTCCGTTGTCGACTTCCCTTTAAGCTGCACTGTGCAGTCGTGTCCGGACTCTGGGGAGTCGGGTCTAGCGATGCCGCTCGCTCCGTTCGTAAGGCCAGGAGCCGTGAACGTAGCGTTCTTGTTACTACTAGTAAGGCACTTGTTACTAGTAGCGTGGCACTT